AAAAAAAAAAAAAAACAAAAAAAGGAGAGAAAAAAACCTCAAACAACTACCTTGCACATTCAAGGGGGGGTTGGCATTTCCCATCCAATCAGGAGCTGACAGAATAGACTCATCACCCTAAAGAATGACACAATGACAGAGCTACTTCTAAAATAAGAAGTAAAGGTTCTCTCCCTGCCACATGTCCATGCTGGGCAGCATCTTCGTACCAACAGAGCCTAAAAGCTCAAAGAACCATTTAGAAGGCAAAAAGCTACCAGGCACAGCACAGGGGCAGAGATGTGACTGCTCCTAAGCGATCCTGATGATAAATTTTAAAGTCAAGAGGTTTATCTGTGCTATCGATGGAGGGACCCAAAGTTTGACTGGACTTCTTTCCCACACAAGCACCATTTAAATGCACAGATTTACTCCAGACGTCGTGCCAGCTCCTCCCTGCTTTTGCCACCCAGACATGGGATGATAAAGCAGCGTCCCTCAGTGCAGAGCTGCTCATCCCACAGAAGGCTGAGATGTAGGGAAGGTGGTTACTGGGTGGGAAAGGAACAAGGGGCCAGGGAGGGGAGTTTGCAGCAGCTGTGAGTGTGGGAGCTTTGCCCTTGAACAGCTCAGCGGGAAAAGGAAAAGCAGTCGCTTTCAGCCACCTAAAACTACAACCCCTCTCTGGAGACACCACAGGAGCAGGATGTAGAAAACTCTTTGAGGTCAACAGAAGACACAGTCACGCCAGCCAGGGGCTCTGAGTGCCTTGCTCTGCTTATTTGCCATCCTAAATACAAGGAAATTTTTTCTTGCAGTATCTGAAGCTCCAGACTGTGTCTTGCCTTACAGCATCAAACAAAAGCAAAGCACAAGATGTGGGAGCTTCAGATCCACTGATTGAATCAGAGAACCGATATCTGGGAGTTCAGGAACCTGAAAATGCAGGCAGGTTGTGGGGCAGCGTTCCAGCAGGAGAAAAGTATAAGATGCCATCCTGCTGGGAGTTAATCCCCATACTCAGCTGGC